ATGCTAATGGCAATGTCCAAGGTATGCTTATTTTCGGACTTTTGTAAGTGGTCGGGAAATATCATTTTGGCTTAATTGGATTCTGACCTATAGTTTACATGTGCACGTTGCTGTGGTTCTGCACAGCTCTTTGCTAGAGGATAAGTTCATGAAAGGCGATTGCTTTTGTTTCAGTTTTATGCATATTTGGTAGTAATGTGAATGTGTTGAATCTGAACCAACTCATGCATTTCTCTCGTGGGGTGTTTCTTTCTATTTGGTTTTCCTAACTAGTTCATTTGCTTTACTTGCAAGTGTTTGTCACTCTCCCTAGTATGTGAAGGAATTGAAGATGCAAACTGTCGTGTTTTGATCTGTGTTCTATGGAGAAGCTTCATTGTTGTCTTAAACTTCATATTTGATGATTTTATTAGTGCTCTTCAGCAGTTGCAAAATGCATTTGTTTTTCTTGTGTTTTGCTTATATTTTGCATCTGGTTCACAGCAGCTACTGTTTTCTCATCAAATTATATTTGTTGGATTCCATTATATGGCACTGGCTTTCACGAGATAAGGTGTGTTTGTTCATATATAGACATATAAACCATACGCATGATACATTAACAGATGCATATTGCTACATATGCATTATATAGACATTTGTGATGCTTGATTTACGAGTCTGATGATTTTCTATTGACCAACTTCGTTGCAGGCGTTGGACCAACCAATTCAGAGGTTCCAGCAGCTGAGGATCCTTCAGTCCCAACCCATATTCAAATGGATGGTGTAGAGTGGGTTGAGCTGTTTGTTAGAGAAATGACTAGTGCCACCAACATGGATGATGCCAAAGCACGCGCATCAAGAGCTCTGGAAGCTCTTGAGAAATCAATCTATGCCCGTGCAGGTGCAGAAGCAGTGAAAAACTTTCAACTGGTTAGTTGCTTTGGCAGTTCATCCCTCCAACTTTCTCTCTTGTAGTACTGTCCTCTAGTTACCATATTCACAACAAACCATTATAGCTCAAATCCCTTTCTTAGTTCTCTGATAAGTCGTGATTCGCACTTGGTTTCTTAGGAAAATCTAAAGCTGAAGGAACAAGTCCAGTTACTCATACACGAGAACACTATCCTCAAGCGAGCTGTATCAATTCAACATGAGCGGCAGAAGGAGTTCGAGGACAGGAACCAGGAAATGCAGCATTTGAAGCAGCTGGTGGCTCAATATCAGGACCAATTGAGAACCTTGGAGGTTTGTGGAAACCCTTCTGTTTAAGCTAACTCCAAACCAGTTCTAGTTCAACAGTATCCAAAACTGTTTTTTTTTTTTTAATTCCCCTTTCCACATGGGTTGTAATTCTCTGCCAGGTGAACAACTATGCATTGACGATGCACCTCAAGCAGGCTCAGCAAAGCAGCTCGATCCCCGGGCGGTTCCATCCCGATGTCTTCTAATTTGATTATACATACAACTTGCTGAAGCAGATATTTATCGAAATAGACAATCCGCCCCTCATGCACTGCGAGTATGTTTTATATTTTGGTGTTTGGCATGCATAGATTTCAGTTCTTCCTTTGATTCTTTCCTAAAAGGTTGGCCAAGATTGAACTTGGATGGCCTATATCATTTATCAAGCGTCTGGGATGTGTGCTTGGGGTGTAGTTCATTCCTGTCTGTACTTTGTTTTAAAATGTTGTTCAAGCGTGTGAATCTTATACACTTCAGACAGTTTAATTTCTTATCTGAATAATAGCAGAATGAACCCTCGTCGGTTTGTTTTACACAAGGATTTAGGTTTGCATTATAAGTTGACTATACCCTGATCTGTGCTTCGAACCGGATTACCTAACTGTTAACCACTTGGACCAGTGTCCATGTGAGAGCTCTCTGGGAATCCAACTTCTCCCCTGGCTTGCTAGTTGCTAGGGTGTCCTATCTGCTCCACAGGCCACAGCTAGTTGTTGGTGCTCATGCATTGATTCTTTCGGTTTTAGATTGTTACAGCACTTGGGGCGGGGAGGGGCAGGTACCTCAATGTTCTTCCTGCCAAGCTGCCCTGACCTCCACCAAGTACGGAATAGACGGGTAACACTCGTGGGAGTATGGGCAGGGTGGGTTGATTTACTCTTACATATTATTTAAAAATATATGTAAAATTTTATCTTTTACGATAAATCAAAAAGAAAATATTTATCGATGGAAAATAGTGATAATAGAATGAGTAATTGAGTCTATCTAGTTGAGAGATAAAATTTAACTAGTTTAAGAAAAGTTAAAATATGATAAATATGAATATATACCGTAAGAAATTGACACAGAATCGGTCAAAGTGCGGCAGGGCAGGACGGGTCGGAAGTAGATACTAATGCCCTATCCCAAACTACTGCGGGTCGGGTAATACTTGCTCCATCACAAGTCAGGTCGGATAATACTTAGTGGGACAGGTCCAAATTGCCATCGTAACCTTTCCCATCCATATGTGTCACAATTCAATAGACTTATGTGTCATAATCCAATAGACTTCATGTAAGAATTTTTTAAGAATTCATATGTTTTAAATTTGAAAATCCACATTCTTGGAAATACGTGGTCGTTTGTGTCGTGGATGATTTGTTACCCAATACATTTTATCAAAAGAGTTAGTATTGACTCCATGTTCCCTTGCAAATTATGGTGGTGCCAAATACGGGAATCCATGGATTTGAAAATCCTAGTGTGGAGGTAGGATTTGAGATAAAGTCACAACTAGATGTGATTCATAATTTCATATATCTCTATACAAATTGATATTAAAGATAACAAGGTGATTGTGTTCCATACATATAAATCTAAACTATTACATCGAAGGTAGTCAACCATTTCACCGATTGGAAAGGTATCCCCCGTCCCCAAGGATCGTCTCTACCTAGTCCCCTCCACCCCGTTTTAACCTTGATCCACCGCCTGGTTTCTTCCATTTAAAGATTAAATGTGATGGAGCTTTTGCCTCAGAATCGCAATTGGCGGCTTATGGCGTTGTCGCTCGTGACGGCCATGGACAAGTGATTGATGGAAAGGCTGGTACCTTTTTTTGTTCAACTTCGATGGTGGCGGAAGCTAAAGCCCTATTGACTGCACTCCAAATTGCTGATTCTTGAGGAATGTCTACAATTGTTTACTCTGACTGCCAAGGTCTCACTTATGCTCTCCTTCGACAAGGGGCTACCTGGCCATGGCATGTCAGAGTTTGGCTTCATTGTATGCGACATATTCTTTTCTCAAATGATGGAATCAAGGTTTGCTTTACTCCAGTAAGCAACAACAAAAGCGCAGATTGGGTGGCCAGAGAATCAGCGAGAGGAACTCTTCCTGCTCAATGGATCCATATTCTTGATCTAATCTCACCTCTTCTATAATAGGCTCAGCTTGTACCAACATCGATTATGAATGAAATGCATCTGATTGTCAAAAAAATCCAACAAGCAAAGAGCAATTTTTCCAAATGTGTAGTGGTCTTAATTGATCTCCAATCCACCATTTTTCAAACCCAACAAACAAGCAATCCTTAATCTAGTGGACTTTGTAGTTCATCGATATGTAAGATTCGCCACCTATTATCAAATTTCATGCAGACAAGAATACACGAAAAATTTGTAATAAATTTGATAGGCATAGTAGTTGGTAACGCTTGAACACTCATCCCCCAAGTCTACCTCGATACAAATCGCTAAAATTTAATTTTTGTAATCCTCTTCATTCAGATTTCCGACTTCTCGTTTTTCTTGTATCCAAACCCAATAAAACTATAATATTTGTGGAGTGGGGTGACCTTGGAAAGGGGCAGCGACATGTGTGTTAGGAGTGGAGGGTTAATCTAATTGCAAAAAGATTCTCCCTCCCCACTACTTAACGAGTGGACTTATGGGTGAGCGAAGTTAGTTGCAAACGCGTAAACTTATTACAAAACGTTGATGCTTTACTTGTAAGCCAACTTATCCCATTCAGAATATGGACAGGAATAGGATTACAAAGGGACAAATTCGATTGGAATTTTGGGAACTTTTTTCTTAGGGTAGGCGCAACGCAAACCTCCTCTTTGCGGTCACTAAAGATATTCGTTAGGCACTACTTCATTGTGGACTTTACCAGTGTAATTCTTGTGCATGCTTCGGAATCTATCTCTCTGAGTCTCTGACCTTGACAAAAAGAGGTACAACGAATCATACATTGAGGACTAAAATTGATATATTGATTTTTCTTAGTCCCCCCCCCCCCCCCCCCGATTTAGGCCCTTAATTTGACCCGCATGGTGGATTGTGTTGGGACAAAATGTGTTATGCGCTTCATACTTTACTGAGCTACCGAGTCTTCTGAATTGTTAGTTTTTGGTCGACGATCCTCCTGCCTTGTTGTTTGGGTGAGATAGATGAACCACTGAATTGGGTTTGCACTTAACAATCGCAATTGATCATATGCGACCCAATATTGAATGTATTGGGTTGATCCAATTAAGCGTCCTCACTTGTTGAGGTGCAATCTTCTTATTTGATTTCAAATATAAGTGCTTCCGAATTCAATGTCATTGGTTCAAGAAAATGAAGAAATCGACTTCGGAATCATTTTGAAGTGGATGTAAATGAACAAAAAAACAAAGACACCCTTGTTATCAAGTTTAGTTATTTGTACAATATCAAGAAGAAGGAAAAAGGAAGATGAAATGAGGCAAAAACATCAAAAACACTAAACTCCATTTCCTAAGTTTCACTACCAAATCCTACTTTCTCCATCCATCCATGAAAAAACTTCTAAAAATAAAATGAACAAAAAACAAACATATAGTAATTCTACTCATCCCTAATTTTGTAGCTTGTAGAACACACAACAGTCCAACTCCTCCCTCTTGACTTTCAATTTCTTCCCCCCTCACAACGGCTCTCCGAGACTTTTTAGTCTCCCCCACGAAGAAATTGAAAAAAAACCAGAATCCGCCACCGCCGACGAGAGAACGAATCAAATCAAAAGAAGCCGATCAATCAATCAGAATCAGAACACCGGAAGAAGCTTACCGCCGCCGTTCCTCATCATCGTCTTGAACTCATCGAAATTCACCATCCCGTCCCCATCCACATCGACTCTCCTGATCATCTCCTTGCAGGCCTCCATCCGCTTCCCTTCCTTCAACCCCAGCGACGACAGCACCGACCCCAGCTCCTCCACCGTGATCAGCCCGTCGTTATCCCTGTCGAATACCTCGAACGCCTCTCTCAATTCATCTCCTCCTCCTCCAACTCCGCCGTTGATTTCCTCCGCCTCCAGATCTGACGCCCTCGCTTCCGCCTCTCCCCCTCCGGCGGCCGCCATGTTGCGGCAGAGGATCTTGAACTCCTCGAAATCGATCAGCCCGTCGCCGTTGGAGTCGACCTTCACCACCATCTCCTCCACCTCCATCTCCGTCACGAAGATCCGGATGTTCTTCAGCGACTCCTTCAGCTCCTGCTTCGTGATGAACCCGTCGCCGTTCTTGTCGAACGTCGCGAACACGCTCGTCATCTCCTCGTCCGCATTTTCCTCCGATCTCGCCTCCTTCATGACCGGATCGGCCTTAGGCTGCTTCTCCTCGTTGATCGACTGCGGCGGTGGTGGAGGAGGAAGGGGGACGGATTTGAGCTGGAGGAAGAGGGACTGGATCCAGGCGCGGAGCTTCTTGGAAGGGAAGTGAGCTTTGAGGTTGAAGATTCCGGCGAGGAAGAGGAGTAGCAGCAAGAGAGCGGCGGCGATCATGTTTTCCGGCTGGGATTTTGGCTTGCTCCGGGAAAAGTGGAAGCAGAGAGCAGAAAACAGAGAGAGAGAGAGAGAGAGAGAAAAGAGGGGAGAAAGGAGTTGTTTGTTTGTCCGTTGGAGGCAGAAGGGAGAAGAAAAGGTGTGAAGTGGGGAATAATAACGCGGTATTTGGTATCGTGGGCCTGCGGCCCAACAACAACATTTGGGTATTATATATATTCGCTCGCGGCGCAGGCAAAAACGCGTGAACCGAAATTAACTGCAACCGAATTTTGTGATCTCTTTATTGTGGAGGAAAAGATTTGACCTTTTTGGACCTAATGAAGCACTTTGTTCTACGGTCTTCTTCTACTGATGACACATCCGACAATGTATGTATGATATGAAACGTTAGGTAACTTAGCAAAGCACGGCAAGTAAAAGGAGGGTGATTAGCGATTAAGATCCTTCAAACTAGAGCCGGCAAATGGTGTGATTTGGTTCAGACCAGATCAAATATACTTTTTTAACGATTTATATTAAGGAGTTGGAACACAAATTATACACCATACTAAATACTATGTCTCAAAATGAGATTCAGACTAGGGCAGACTATTTCGTCCGGACTTTTTGATTTTATTCGAAATTGGGCCGAGACCGGACCGAGATCGGATAGCAAACAATTCAATCCAATCTTCGGGCCTAGATTTGAGATAAAAAATCATTTGGAACCGGACTGAACACCGGATAAGAGAGCCCAACACCCAAAATTTAACCTCCTCACCCTTTCAAGCCTCATGCCACTCAAATCCCCCTCCTCCCTCGAATCCCCACAAGTTCAATCTAAAATCAAGACCAAATTGGGACCGCACCGGTTCAAGACCGTACTGTATCCAATCCAATCTTTGATCCTTATATTCTCAAAAAAACCGGACCGGGACTGAATCAATTCGGGGCATTTTAACCGTACCATACCGTATAGTCGCCCCTAATTCAAACCATACAATTCATGTTAAGCAAAAAGAACTAAAACAATTTATTTGGTCCACTACCCCAAAAACCTAACCAGAATCCTAAAAACCTAAATTTCAATGTGAATACATAATTTTGATACTCTAAATTCAAGTAAATAACAAATACACAAAGTTACGACAACACAATTTTCACCTTAAAGCCAATAAACATTAACATAATATCAAAATGAAGATCTTATCAATGTAACCGCTAACCGATATCACCCTTGCAACCATGTAAATGCAAAATTAATTGCATAGATTATGTCATTCAAGACTCAAGCTATTGTGTTGTTCTGGTCAGAAATAAGATAAAAGGACACCAATAGTTTTTTATTCAATTATTTAATTAATAAATGTATCAACTAATTAACCATTAGTTTGACCATATAAAATATGACAGTCCTCTCTCCCGCCATTACTAAAGGGGGTTATTGCAACATAATATACGGTTGTCTAAAAAAGCATAATACATGTTTGAACCTAACTGAGTGTAGGAGTGAGGTTCGGGGAAGATGTGGGTCAATAAGAGTAGGCAAAGGGGAAAGTCTGAGATCTCGCGGGTAATGGGGATGAGACTGAGAGGATTCGAGTTTTAGAGAGAGAAGTTGATATTCATAGAGAGAGAATGTCTAAAAACCGATCCCCTTCACCCACCGGAGTAAATGCCATATTTATAGGCTACATGGTGGTGGGTGAGTGGGTGGATTACATGATGGGACCTTGACCTTGACATGACCACTGACGTGTCGGGGATTTAGGCCATCCCACTACCTAGGACATGTCAGAGGTGTACCTACGACTGTATCTCGGATCCCAACGCGGCTGGCCCTCGGGGAGTATGAGGGGAACTACTTATGGCTTTGTGGCTTAATACTCGCTTGTCCCTCTCAGCACGCGCGTGGCTTGCGACGCGCCCGGAGTCTCCGCGCCTTGATACTTTCCACCCTCGCGCAGCTTGTGAGGGGCTCTGGGTCTTCGCGCGTTGATTCTTTCCACCCGCGCACATGTTGTGGCGCGCCTTAGGCCTTCGCGCCGCACCTTGTGTCGGCGCGTCTTATCTTGCACGGCTAGGTCCGAGTCACATGCCCAACAATTGCCCCCCATCAGAGGGTGTTCTGTGAACGCCCTCTGTTTAGGTCTTCGTTTGATTGACTCGGGCCTGGGCGCAATTCCCGGGGCTCTTCGCATGCGCCTTGCCATTCCGTAGCCGCGCGAGAGGTTCTGTTGTAGTTGCCTGATTGAGCGCGATCCTTGGGGTCGGGATTCTGAATCGCTTGATGTGCGCGTGCGCGATCTTTGTGAGATTCGAATTATCGATGGCGCGGCATCTGATCGAGCGTGATTGTCGGGGTTGCGATTGCTTTTCGTGTGCGCCTTGCCGTTCCGTAGCTTGCGCGAGAGGTTCTATTGTAGTTGCCTGATTGAGCGCGATCATTGGGGTCGGGATTCTGAATCGCTTAGTGTGCGTGTGCGCGATCTTTGTGAGATTTTTCTCTTTCCTCGCGGGTGTGCCATGCCCCCCAGGCGTTGTGCGGAACTAGTTACGTCAGCGGCTAGTACCTACTTCGAATACGTGTCCACGTGTCCTTACCTGGTTTGTCCGTTTGGGCGGGCGAATTTCGAAATTCGAAACGTCTGACGGTTGCGATCTTCGAGGTTACTTTAACCCTTCGACTTACCTCTAACAACTATAAGTATCAACCCGTTGTGGGGGGTGGGATTCATTCTGCCTCATTCTGCACATCTGAGTTCTGCTCTTTTCCTCTCGTTCTCTGGTTCATCGCCGAGATTCCTCTCCTTCTTTTACAATCTTAAATCTTCAATCGTTGTTCTTCTCTGTTGCCTATTGCTATCATGGACAACACCAACACCAACGTCGGCGAGGTTGAGATCGTCCAAGACGAAGAAGGTAATGTTTCCCCCCTTTCACGTATTTCTTCTTATACGTCGCTGGAATTGGCGAATTCCGGCGGCGAGTATGGCGGTGGGTCTGGTGACGGCGGAGCTCCGTCCACGCCGTCGGCCGAAGTCGACTCGGATCCTGATTTCGTCCTCGGAGAGACAGAGGCAGATGAAGATGCAGTTGTGTTCGGGAGCGAGGGGCCGAGCACGCAGCCCCGGGGCGTCTTGATAATCCGACGCGACCGCGATGGGAGGTCCGGGGTCGCGGAGGATGCTAGTATTGCGGATGCGACCGAGCGCGAGGATTCTGACACTCAGTCAGCGCCAATGATTGCAGAGCCCGTCGACGTGGTGCGCATAACCGAGGCGATGAGTCGCCTTGGCCCTCGCTGTGTGGACGCGGTCTACACCGTCCTTGATTGGGCGGAGATGTGGGGCGACCAGCCGGCTCCGCACGACAACTTGTTGCGGGGACCCGACCACGCTTCAGTATACTCGCGCGAGGACGTAGAGGGCATCGTGCGCGGATTAGGTTTGCCTCCCCACTGGGAGTACGCGGTGCCCTCTATTAGGAGTACTGTAGGTAATTGCCCCCCAGGGTGGTTTGGGGTGTACAGCGAGTACTGGTGATGGGCTTCAAGTTTCCCATCGACCCATTGTTGTGCGCCTTATACAAGCGGCTCAACTGCTCGGTTGGGCGCCTCTCTCCATCCATCATTATGCATGTCTCCTGCTGCGCCTCGCTTGTAAGCGGCTTAACATCCAGCCCACGTACGGGCTGTTCCGCAAGTTTTATAAGATCAAGGAGCCCAGCAAGAAGAGCGACTGTTTGTCCATAAAGCGGCGCGATAATAGGCCTGATGGGTTCGTGTACGGCTCTCCCAAATTGAAGAAGACGTGGTTTGAGCGCTTCTTCTACGTCAAGCCGGCATCGGGGGAGTGGGCGAGTGAGCACGTGGATGAGCCCACTGTGTGGAAGAAGGGTAGCACCCTTAAGTTTGAGTCCCGCGTCGGCGCGTATGATGGGCTTGACCAGGAGTATCAAGCGTGTTTGGATCAGAAGATGAATCTTTACACGCGCGGAGTTCGCGAGGCCGTCTTGCAAGAGCTTTTTGCTGATGGTTAGTTATTTTCCTTTCCCTTTGTATTCTGTCATATTTAACCGGTTTCTTACGATATTTTGGTGCAGGTGTCGATTTCTCCGACCTCGTAAGCATGATGTCAGTGGACAACGTCGCGAAGGCGCCCCGCGCCTCGCGTAAGGTGAAGAAGAAGCAGAAAGAGGGAGCGCAGAGTAGCAACGCGCCAGCCACCAGCACCAGTAGGAAGGATCGGGGGCAGCCCAGCAGTGCCCCCGTGAGTGGCGGGAAGAGGAAGGAGTCGGAGTCGGAGAGGGAGCAGGCTGATGGGAACCCGAAGAAGACTGCGCGGGTTGTGGAGCCGCAGGAACGAGAGGTTCCCGTACAGGAGGCACGCCAGCAGCCTCTGGTCATTGTCGATCCCGAAGCACGGGTGGGTAACTCCCCCCGCCTGGAAAGGCTGGTGGCTCCTAGCACCTCTGGAGCTACTGTGCAGCGGAAGCTTTCCGATATGTTGGGAGGCGTTCCGGGGGTTGACTATTACCGCGACGTGCGGCTGCACACTAGCGCGGCGTGTAACAGTCAAACGGCGCAGGCTGCTCTGCGGGCGGTTGGCCCTGTGCTTAGCATTCCACCCCGGTTCGAGAAGTCGGATCCGCTTGTGGACCTGGCTCAAATCCATTGGGCGGTAAGGATATTCCGTTTTGGCGCACAACCCTTTTGTTTGTTTGTTTGTTTTTGCTAAGTTGTAAAGTGCTGTTTTTACAGGGTTTGCTGGCGACTTTCCGCGCTCAGCAGGATCGTGCTTCTACCCGCGCGAGACTGAAGACGGACGAGTCCCGGATTGTGCAGCTGGAAGGGAAGCTCGCCGGCGCGGAGAGCCGCGCGGTAGTGGCCACCAACGAGGTCAACAAGGCCCTGACTGAGCTCGGCGTGTGGCAAAGCATGCTTGAGACTGCTGTGGAGGCTGCGAAGGAGCGCGTCCGAGCTGAGGAGCGCGATGCCATTAGGGTGCAGCTGCAAG